TACAGGGTCAGAAAATGTAAAATCTGAATATCTATCTTTTATGGACAGTTGTGATTTGACAGTACTGTGTGGGTTTAGGGACAGAGGAAGTGGGGTGGATGGAAACGTGATGTGCTAAATGATTCAATCCTCACCTTCATTAACAGGAGATTAACGGATAATATGTAAAACTGGAAAATCAACAAATGGCAGTATAAGCTTTATTTTTCCTCTCCCCAAAATACAGAGGTAAATATCAGAATAAATAGATAAAAGACTGGAAGTGGATTCCTTCAGGGTAATGGAAGCTGGGACTCAGAATGGTGGAGGAGTTTTTTGGTTTTTTGAGTCTTGTGTAATTATCTTTTTAAACAGAAAAGCAATCAGCACACACATCAAATTACTTAGAAAAATTTTTAGAATGGCTGCTTCACAAGCTAGGTGCGTCTGTTTTCCTTTTTCTGTTTTTTTAAAAAAAATATTCATTGCAGCTTTATTCACAACAGCCAAAAATTAGAAACAGCTCGAATGTCCATCAATAGTTCAATGGATGAATAAATTACTTTTTCTGCCTTTTCATTCATCACCAGATTGCCCTCCAGGAAGAGGCTATCAATTACGTCCTTCCAGCAGCTCCCCAGAATTCCCTTTTCCCGACACTTCTCCAGCACAGAAGATGATTATCATTTATTTTAATCTTCTTTGAATGAGTGGGCCAAGCGTGGGGTCTCACTTCATTTCTCATTTCATTATCAGCCATTTTGAATACATGTTTGTACATATTGTTTGTTCTTTATTCTTTAATAAGTTACTTGTCCATATCCTTAGCCCTTTTAAAAATGGCAATGTTTGCCTGATTCTTATTTATTTAAAAGAAAAAGACATTTAGGTGCCAAATCCATTAACCCCTTTGTCTGGCATATAGGATGGGAATATCTTCCCTTCATTGCCGTATACTGTTAAAACGCATGCCAATTTTGAAAATATCAAACACTACATTTTGTATATGGTATGAACTAAGGATATTCCCTTTAACTGGAAAAAGGGGAACCAAAGCTGACAGCAATGGACAGTGGTGACCTGGGTGGCCTGATGGAGAAACACGAGGCCCTGGAGGGAGGGAGAGGTGCAGGGAAGGGGAGGATGCCAGCCAGTTGGGTTTGGTCCCATTGAGGGGAGCTGGGTGGGAGGGGCAGCCTAGATGCTCAAGGAGAGTCTTGCAGGTGGCGGACCCATGATTTGGGCATGGAGTTGGAGAAGGCAGTCTGGTGGTTGGTCCTCAGCTCTGGAGAGAGAGGCGCCACCACAGCAGTGGGTCACATGCTGGGTGGCCTCTTCCAGAGACACAGGAGTGCCTTGTCCTCAGAGGCCCCGGATCTCAGTGGTCATGGAGGAGCAAGAAGAGGTGGGAGGACCCCTGGCTCAGCGGGGAGTGAGCTCCATGGGCCCTGGGGCCTTGGCCAGGCTCGGGGCAGACGACACCACTGCCCCCCACTATATTGGTACACAGCCCTGAGAAGTGAGGAGGAGGAATTCAGAACATGAAGTTCCTTCACTGACTGTTCCACACCTTCTCTTCCATCCAACCCTCTTCCCGGACCCCGGCCCCTGGCTCTTTTCAGTCCTTGAAATCTTTCCTTCCCACTGGAGTCAGTGTGGGAGGAAGCAGGGAACAGGTGGGATCTGGGGTGAGGGCAGCTGGGGAAGGGGGTGACACTCCAGAAACCCCCCTGCCCTCAGCAAAGAGCTCACCTGGGGACACCAGCAGGTGGATTTTCTTGTACAGAATGGTGCCACCTTTGGAATTCTTGATTGCACGCCAGTAGTTTCCTGAATCCAACTCTTTGAGTTCTGCCATGGAGATATTTGTGAACCCAGAGTCAGGGTCATCCCAGATCGTGTACAGAGAGTCCTGGGCCAATGTCCTGGGCTTGCAAGTGGAGACTAAGCACTTAGACTTTGATGATTTCCTCCTACACAAGATTTTGCTTTACATGAATTTCCTTCTTTGTTTGAGTACCTGCAGCTCTCGGAGAGCATCTGCCCCACCTTCCTGTGCCAAATCTCCTCCATCTTTTGTCTCTGTATCCAGGAACCTGCAGAAGTCCTCAGGTCAGGCTGAGCGCTGGGACATGCCCTCACTCTGAACCTGACCCCACGTGGCCCTCCAGCCCTAGCACCACACCTGTCCTTCCCTCCCTGTGCGCCTCCAACCTGTTCCCTCACCTGAGGCCAGCAGAACCAGCAGGACCAGCAGCAGGACCAGCAGCAGTGTGAGGCTTCCAGAGACATGGTGCCTTCTCCCTGGACTGGGGTGTGTAAAGTCAAGTATGATGTGACTGCCCAGATGCCCCAACACATCGAGGGCTAAGACTGAGAAAAGAAAGGCCTTAACTGGGTGAGTTTGAGGCCTGCAGGGCAGGTTCTGTGGGCAGTAGGGAGGGGAGGGTCCTCTGGGGGGAGTCTTCAGCTACTGAGAGCACCTCTGCCCTGCAGGGGCAGCCCTGGTACTGTGGCTGCCTTCCCGATCCACCTGCCCACCAGCCCCCCCCAAAACACATACTTCCTCTCTACTCTCCACACCCCCTTTTTCCCTACTCCTGGCTTTCCTCCTACCCTCAACACCCTACCAAAAGGACAGGTTCAAGGCTGGTTAGGGCTCAGGGGGCCCGACCAGCCCCTAAGCCCCTCTAGTCTCCAGGAGACCAGGCCTGGAGGGTGCCTGGTAGTTGAAATGATGCAGTCACACCTCACGCCCTGGCTATCTCTGCTCCTGAGAATGAGTCTCATGGTGATTTTCAGATATCATGAGTCTGGATTTGTCATGACAAGTAAGAAGCATAGTAAAGCATTCCCAGGCCACCCAACCTCCCAGATCAATTCTCCGACTTATCACCACTATTACCCACCTCAAGATGTAGGACACAATATTACACACCAAAATACTAACTACTGTATGATTTAATTGTTAAGAGTCTACTTAGTGGTTCAGTCTGTGGGCAGTAGCAGAGGCTCTATGCAGTGCTGGATACAAATTACACCTCCCTTCCGCACGGTAGTGAGCACTGACTGTGGTAGAAAAAAACATGAAACAATGTGTTCAGGCTACTAAGGATTTTGTCCACATTAGACTGGGTTGGTCGTGCCCCCAGGAAACACACTGGGAACCCCAGAATCCCCACCTATCCCCTTGGAGAACATCCGAGCCCCACGCCTCTGACAGGACTTCTGGCTGCATCCTGCCCTGACAGTGTGAGAGTGGATCCTTCCCCCACCTCCTGAGGACACTTCTGCAGGAGCCCCAAATCCCACCCATGCCTGGTCCCTCTTGCAAAACTTCAAACTGTGCCAGGGGCTGTTGTGAGCACCTGGGAGCAGGGCCAGGCTCACCTGAAGCCCAGGCTCCCCTCACTCCAGCTCCCATACCTGAAGCTCCAGGTCCTGGCTGCCAGAGGAGAGCCAGGATCCAGACGGTTCCGGCAGAGTCCTCCGCTGGGGTGCCCGAGTCCCCCATTCTCTGCGGACAGTGCTCACCCAACTCATACTGGTGAGGAGGCTGCAGTCCAGAGAAAGGGGCAGATCCCACCCTGAGAGAGCTTCCTGTTTTGGGAAGCGAGGACCCACGCTGACACAGCAGAGATCAGCTCGGAGACGACCACAGGTTGGAGGAACACAGAGACAGGGGATCATGGACAGAGTGACCTCGAGGCTGCGGAAGGTGGTGTCCCTGCCCAGTGGTTCCAGTGGCCAGACAGGGGAAAATCAGCGTGGAAAAGGGTTGCTACACACCCTGACACACGGTGACACACCTTTATGCCAGCTAGGACACCTTCCTTCCTCAGGAGGCTGCCTCTCCCATGTGGTATGTAATTAGGTTCAGAGAGGAGGCTCTGAGCTCAGCTGAGGGCCAGGACACCCCCTCCCCACCCCAGAGCTGCCTCTGCCTGTGACATGCAATCATTTCCTGTCCTGTCCACGGGTCAGACTTCAGCTGAAGGTGGCCGGAAGTTAGGGGTCTGGTCTGGTTACACCACTACCTCATCGACCCACTTTGAGCAGGTCACTGGCGTTTCTGGGCCTCAGATATGAGAAAGAAAGCAACACTACCCTCACAAACCCATTGTGGCGATTACAGGAGAGGGCCCGGGAACACACGTTGTAAACTAGCATTGTGCCGGAGGGCGATTGGCGTTGTTCCCAGCTTTCTTCTGGCTCTAAAGCTCCATCCTGCTTTCCCACCTGCGGACCCTCGGGTACTCACAGCCGATGTCCCCACTGTGTTCTCCTTTTGTCTATCTCTGCCCTTATCCTCAGTCTCTGCTCACTGCACCGAGGCAGAGTGGGGAGCAGGGAAGTAGGAGTCGAGGGGGCGGAGCAAAGCAGTGGACTTAGAATCAAGTCCCCTTGATGGATTCAAACTCCCGTGTCAATCATTGATTCTGTACACGGAGCTCCCAGCGCAGGGGTTGGACTGCAGAGCCCCCAGTGGCCACAACTGGAATTACACCTCCACATAGTGCTGGCGGATGGTCCGAATCTCTCTCTCTCTTTCTCTAATTTCTTACTCTTTGTAAATTGCATCTTTTTAAAATTAAATCTTAAAAGTGCTAACATTCGTGAAAGAAATATGTTAGGCCCTTTCACCTCTTTATGTATTAATTACACAAATGTTTCTAATATCCGCAGGTGGACAGTTACGGGTGCAGAGATGATGCCGGGTCCAGGCTCCTCTGCTCCCCTCTCTCCCCACCCACCAGGCAGGCCCAACTGATCAGCCTGGGGACCAGTGGGGCTTCTGGCTCCTGCTCAGACCCCTAAGTGCTCCTGAGCCTGTCACCCACCTTTGGCATGGCTTTCCCCGGAGAGTAAGGCAGAGCCAGGGTGCTGGGAAGAAAAGGCAGTACACAAAGAGAGGAAGAAGAGAAAGCATGGGTGCCTGACCACAGTTTCCTCCTGGCCTGCTCAGCTCCTCCCCCAGGGGCAGGTCGCAGTGGGGAAGGGGCAGCCGGGCACAGAGGAGAGGAACCGCTTTTTCATGGACTCAGGGCTGCGGCCGAGCAGGGCTGCGTCTTCCGGGTCTGGAGTCCCAGCTGCAGCTAGAGAGCCTCACTTCCTCACAGAATCTGGCCTCACAGGTCTCCCCCTCCCACACCGAGGCCAGGCCTTTCTCATTTTGCCCATCACAGAGGTGCTGGAAGAGCCAGGAGAATTGGGGCATCTTTTGTTTCCATCTCCCGGGTGCCCCCCGCCATGTCCTCTCCCTCTGGCACACTGGGCAGGCACCCTGTGGCCTGGAGAGCCCCACTCCCACTGCTGCTGCTGCTGCCATTCCCAGGTGAGGAGGGAGGGACAAGCATGGGGAGGGGAGGGTGTGACTCAGGGTCAGAGGGGGCGTCAGGCAAGTGGCTCTGTGGCCAGGGTGCTGGGGGTCAAGCACACCCTGGCATGGCCCTGACTGGCAGCCTCTTCTCCAGGCTCGTGGGCCCTCCCGGGGGCTCAGCACCTCCAAAGCGTGGCAGGGCAGACCCTCTCCGTGAGGTGCCAGTACCCACCCAAGAGCTGGCCCTACGAGAAGAAAGGCTGGTGTAAGGAGGTGTCTCCACTCAAGTGCATGAGGCTGGTCACTAGCTCCAGTCCCCACACGCTGGTTCAGGCCTCTCGGTTCTCAATCTGGGACAACCCGGATGAAGGCTTCTTCATCGTCACCATGACTGGTCTGAGGGAGGAAGACTCGGGACACTACTGGTGTCGAAACTACCACGCTTCCAGCCACTCTGTCTCCAAGTCCTTAAAGTTCTATCTGGCTGTGTCTCCAGGTGAGCCCCTTCCCCTGGGATCCCCTCACTCCCTTTTGGTGACCCCTGGTTGCCTAGTCGTAGAAGCAAGGCTGCCCATCACCAGCCCAGGAGTCCTGGGAAGGCTGTTGGGAACACAGACCTTGAGGACCTGAGTGTGTGCCCACACACGCAGACCAACATGATACCAATACATGCACCCACTTCACCCACTGTCTTCTTGATGATTTGCAAATCTCAGAGATGCTCGAACAGATCAGTGGAGCATGTTGACCAGATGGAGCCTGAATGATTGGCTACAGGGGAGCCCAAGCCAGTTGGCATCTCTGAAGAAGGTATCTGTACCTAGCACATAGGAGGTGCTGATTAAGTGTGTGTCCACTGGCCACAAAACCACCCCCCACCACCATGTTGGTATCATGTCAGTCTGTCCATTCCTTTTGGCCCAGATCAGGGCCAGTGAACTATAGTCTAAAAGCTAAGGATGTTTTTTAAATGATTGGAAAAGTTGTCAGAAAACAGAATATTTCTTGACACACAAAAATTACAGGAAATTCAAATTTTAGTGTCTGTAAATAAAAGTTTGGGGGACACAGCCACACCTGTGTGTTTATGTATTGTCCATGGCTGCTCTCATGCTACAGTAGGAAAGTCGAGTGGTTCAGACTGAGGGCCATATGGTGACAAAGCCTAGAGTCATTACTCTATGGTCTCTACAAAAATGTTTGCCCACCTCAGTCTAGATCAGAGCTTCTCAAAGTGTCTGTGATTGCAGTGGACGGAATGTTTGTGTCCCCCACAAAGTCATATGTTGAAATCTTAACCCCCAATGTGATGGTATTAGGGGGTGGGGCCTCTAGAGGTGATTAGGTCATGAGGGTGGGGGCTCTGTGAATGGAATTAGTGCCCTTATGAAAGGGCTATCCAGAGACCCCTCTCATCCTCTGTGCCATGTGAGGATATGCCCTGAAAGAGGCCTCACCAGAACTCCACCACACTGGGACGCTCATCTCCAGCTCCCAGCCTCCAGCCGGGACTGTGAGAAATAAATCTCTGTTGTTTACAAGTCACCCAGTCTGTGGTGCTTTGTTACAGCAGCCCAAGTGGACTAAGACAGATTTAAAAAACAAAAATCTCCAGTCCATCAATGACTATTTTTTTTGTAAAATACAATAAAAATTAATTACTAGGAGGGAGGGTATAGCTCAGTGGTAGAATGCATGCTTAGCATGCACGAGGTCCTGGGTTCAATCCTCAGTACTTCCATTAAAATAAATAACTAAATAAATAAACCTAATTACCCCCTCAACAAAATATAAATAAATAAATATATTTTAAATGAATTACTAGAAAAATAAAATGAGAGGAAAACAAAGTACAAACCCAAAATGCTTATTAGATCTAACTGACATAAAATTACATTTCAGTAAGTACAATCAAAGACAAACAAACAAACAAATACAATCAGAACAAACACAGGGAGGAAAAGTTCACTTGTAAAAACTGCACACCTTGTTTACTGAAAGTGTGCAGTAGGAGACTGAGATAGTGGCTTCATGTTATATCTGAAACGTTTTGTTGTTCCTCAGTCATAACTAAAAAAAAATTAGAAGTGAAATAGCAATTTTCATATTAAATGTCAATATTCACACTTTGAACAAACACCTTGTTTATCCCTATTTAAAGATTTTAATGTGACAAATGAACATTCTTCTTGCTTATTAACTTACCTAATTTGAGTAATATTAATGACATGATAACTTTTAGGGGAAAATATATAAAGAAATTGTTTTGAGGCTTTGTTTTAATAGCATTCAGAGTTGAAAACTGGTTTCACAGAGGTAAGTTGACGGAAATACAAAAAAGGAATTTTACAGCAATTTCAACAAGCTCAATATTTTTATTTTTAACTTTCATAAAAGGAAGCAAGTGATGCTGTATTTTCAAAATGCATCTTCAATCCTTCACCAGGAGCTAGTTCCAAAATTTTATCTTACAAAATTATAGTTAGATTATGTTTTAATTAATTTAAATCTTGTATCTTTTGACAGAAATTAAAATTCAAAACATTCTATCAAATTGCTGAGGTTTTTTGAGTACTTTTGCAGGTACGCAATATCAAAATCACCACCTATTTTGTTGATAATTGTTACTAAACTAAGAACATTTCATAACAATGTATAGAAAATAGACTTTTAAGCTTCTAACTTTTGTTTTTGTCCTGAGATTTTACTTGCCATTGGGAAACATGTTGCATTCTTTCCTTACATAAATATATTAACATTAAAGCTACAATATAAGCAAGTCTGACTGTGCAGTCCACATCTTTAAAAAGTCAGTATATATGATCAGTTTCCATTTTATCACATAATAAAGAGAATGACCTCCATTTCAAAACATTCATCTTCATGTAATTCAGTTTTGACCACGGTTGGTAAGCACGCTGTGTCAGCTCTGCTGATATTATAAGGTTTTGGGTTAGAGTTACAAACTACAGTGGTAACCACAGTTGGTCATAGTTACCAGCTAACCTTAAGGTATCACAGACCCTCTGTGTTACTGGCACACAGACAGCTCCAGATGCGACTCTCCGAGCCAGTTTAATGACACCCAAACTGGTCTACACCCTGTTTGATAGACAAGTTTTCTAATCACATGCTTAGACCTTGAGGCAATATCAAACTAATGTAAAAGTTTCCAATTCTTTACTCTTAATTTCTATATTTACCCTGTTGCAGGTGGTTATAGTTTGTGGGCCGGCACCAGCCCACAGATGACACCCTCAGTAGCTCAGGGCTAGAATCTTCCCTGAGTGTCCGGGACCTCCTCCAGGGGCGCATGGGTTGCTCCAGGTCATCCTTTGGAGCAGACTCAGAGACAGCGGGTGACTGCATGGGACAGGATCCTGTCCATGTGTCCATCAGCCTGGCCATCTCTCTGGGGAAGATCTCCCAGGGTGTCCCAGCTTCAGGCACCCCCTCCTCCAGCCCTTTCCCAGCCCTTGTCAACCCCCCTGCGCTTTGGGAGAGACTGCTCCTCTCCTGGAGCCTGGGTGGGTGTGGAGACCTCAAGTGGGACATGGAGAGCACCCTTCCTGTCACAGCCTTGGGGCCCAAACAACTTCTTTCCCTCCTGGGCCTGCCCCCCTCCCCAGCAGCCATTGTCCTCTCTCTCTCCTTAACAGCCCCCCTTGCTTCTCCAGAGAGGACCTCCCCCAGGTCTCCACGTGGGGCTCTGAGCACAGGTAGGCCTGGGGTCATCCTGGGAAGGCAGAGTCTTGGGGGTGGTGGGCAGGTAGCTCACAAAGCCTCGGGATCAAGAAGGGGCCTTGTAAAAGGCATGTACCCAGACCGGCCTGCAAGGGTTGGGGGCGGACAGCCAGGCTCTGCTGCAAAAGCAGGAGGGACAGGGATGTGAAAGCAGCTCTTAAAATTCCCCATGAGGGGCCCCCTTCCCCTCACAGCCCCGGGAGTGTTGAGAAAGAACATGGATGTCAGAGATGAGACAGCTTGAAGGCGGGGACTGTTTCCTCACTTGAGGAGGCCCATCCAGAGAGGCAGGAATGCTCTGAGGGAGGCCAGGCCTCCTGACTCCCGCTCCAGTGCTCCTCCAGGACCAGGGATACCTCCACAGGCACCGGATACAGCCTGGGCCACAAGTGTGTCTAGTCTTGAGCCAGGAAACTTCACAGCCCGGTCCCCACTGCCCCAGATTGATTTTCTTTGGGGCTAGTGGGCTTCTGTTCCCAGTCCAGCCCAGTTTTCTATTCCAGCTTTCTGGTCAACACAACAGGAGGGCAGTCCCTCCCCCACCACCCTCGACTAACCAAGGTCCTTTCTCTTCCCCTGGCAGCCTCTGCCTCCATGCAGGCCACCCGGGCTCCCCACGACCTGGTCTCTCAGACTGAGAGCTGTGTGTCCTCCACGGGAGCAGCCAGAGAGGCCCCCAGGGCTTCCACCACCATCACAGCCCTTTCACAGTGAGTTCGGGTTCAGGGTGGGCCCCTCTTCCCTACAGGTCTGGCTCAGACAGAAGTGCCGCCCTAGTCCCATCCTCTCCCCTTTTTGCTCCTCTGTCCTCCAGGCAACAAAACTCCACCCTCTGGTCCAGCCCTGCAGCCTCCAGGGCCCTGGTCCCCGTGCTCTGTGGGTTACTTGTGGCCAAGAGCCTGGTGCTGTCAGCCCTTCTTGTCCAGTGAGTAGACTTGGGGGGAAATGGAGCAGGGAACAGCTTCTGTCCCTGGATAGAGGGTTGGAGAGGGAATCAACCAGAGAACAGAGATGGAGGAAAAGTGGTCATCGATGGGGCTCTCCAGATTAAACCCTCGCTGTCCGTATCAGGCCCACCTTGTCTTTCAGCTGCAAACTTTCAAGTGTCTTGTCCACACTTCTTGGTCTCTGTTTTCTCCTTTCCCTCCCCTCTCCTTTTCTTCTCTTTTCCTTCCTTCCTTCCTTCCTTTTTCTTTTCTTCCTTCCTTTCTTCCTTCCTCCTCTTCCTCCTCCTCTTCTCCCCCCTCCCCACCCCCACCCCATTCACCCCTCCATAAGTAACTGACCTGTACAACCAGAAGTCCCTCCCAACATCCGCCCTTCCAGGAATGCCAACCCAAAGCCATCAGCCTCATCCTCTGTCCTGAAGGAGAGAGGCTGTGCCCATGAGGAAAGAGTCATAAGCTCTGGGGGGAAGGGAACCCACAAGGGAAGATGGAGGCGGGGTTGGGTGAAAGCTGTGAGGACAGCACAAAGGTGAAGACGACCTGAAACAGGATCAGGTCAGGAAGGAGCAAGCTGGCTGGAGGAGGGACAGGCATGGGGAGAGGGGAATAAAGTCAAAAAAGGGATTCAAGTGACTTCATATGTTCCCTCCCTCTTCTCACATCTCAGGGCATTAAGGAATCCCTGTGTGTGATGCAGAGGCAGGTCTCTGATGCTTCTGACTCTGCTCAGATCCCAGGGCCCGGGGTGCTTTCTGCTGAGCCTCAGGACCCAAGAAGGATGGCCGGTCTCCCCCAAGGCCCCAGGAGCTCCTCCCTCACCTCTGCCCTCTGAATTCCCTACAGTGAGCAAAGCCTCCAAAACTTGATCCAATGCCCCTGGTTGCACCCCTTGCTCCAGAGCTGAGGATTTCCCAGCCCTGGCCTCCTCCAAGGTCCAGGCCCACTATGTCTCAGATGCCTTAGTCTGCATCTGGACCAGCACCATCCAGTTCTGGGAGCCAAAGCCCAGGGGAGCATCCTTCCACTAAACTGGAGCCACCACTGCTGATGACGGCTCCTCCTCCTCCCCCTCCTCCTGTCTGGAGCCCCATGGCTCAGCCAGGCCTCCATATCACCCCAACATCTCTCTCTGTCTCTCCCCGCCCTTATTCAGCCACACGCTACAAGGCTTCTCCGTTCTGCATTTGTCTGTTGCTTCTGCCTCTTCTTCCGCCTTTCCAGACCCCACCACGTCAGCCCTGGACCTGGACCCCTCTGTCAGTCACCTAACTGCTGTCCTGCCTTTGGTTTCCACATCCTAGATTGCATCATACATCCCTCTCGGCAACACCTCTGTGCGTCTTCACTGTGTGGGAATTGAAGACCAGAGTCAGTCTCAGGGCCCCATGCTCTGCCACAGTAGCCACCCCTTGCCTCCATATCACTGTGCTTCCCCCACGCTGTCCCTCGAACCACCACCAGGATGGCTGCGGGTTCTGGAGCGAGGTGGGCCCTCCCTTCTTCTGCACAAGCTGGCAGGGGCTCCTCAACACGTCCCCCCCCCAGAGCCCGCCCTGGCCTTCCCCCAGGCCGTGTCCCCCGCAGGACAGTTTTCTCTCTCTGACGCGTGATCCCGATTTGGGACCTTCCGAACTGAACCTCTAACTTAATCATCTTTTTTTCTCCTGTTCTTCATCTTTTATTCTTTACTCCTATTTTCTGGGAAAGTTCCTCATGGTTCCATTCCAATTCTCCTACTCAAATGTTTACAATCTGTGCTATCATGTTTTAAAATTTCTAAATGGTCCATTTGTTCTCTGAATGTACCTTTTTATAGCACACCTGTTTATCTGGGAGTGCCACATCTCCTCTGGCAATATTAAACTTTTAACATCTTGAAGTTTTTTTTTTTAAGCCTTCTGTGTTTTCTGTTTCCTCCAAGTGCCTTTTTGTATCTTTTGTGTTCTCCCTTCATTGGCCTCTGTCTTCCCTCAGAACTTTCTGGAAACTTCTGCTACTTCTCAGCAACCCATCCATATTAAGAGCTTGGATGCTCAGTGTGTTACAGTGCTTCATGGACTAGACTGAATATATCCACTCAACATAAGTATGTTAAAATCCTAATCCCCGAGCTGACGGCGTCAGGAGGGAGCGCCTTTGGCGAGTGATGAGGTCATAAGGGTGGAGACCTCATCAATAGGATGGTGCTCTTATAAAAGAGACCCTACACTTTAGATTCATAAAAGAGACCCTGCGCAGCACCCTTGCCCCTCTGCCATGCAGGACACCGCGTGTAGATGGCCCTCTTTGGACCAGGAAGCCCTGACCAGACACAGGCTCTCCGGGTGCCTTGATCCCGGACTCCCTGGCCTCCAGAACCAGGAGAAATGAATGTTTGTTGTTTAAGCCTCCCCGTCTCTGGTACTTCCGTTATAGCTGCCCAAACGGACTATGACAAGCAAGGTTTCTTTTTTTTCTCTCTTTGACAGCTCAGTTTCTCCAAAAAGAACTCTTTAACTCTTGCCCTGGATGGGGAGAAGCTCAGATGCCAGGGCTCTAGGCATTGACTGTAGCAAAGCGAAGGGGCCTCACCGCCTGTTTCACCGCCTCAGCCCCCACGCCCCCCGCCCCACTGTAGCATCCTCTCCCCCTCAGTCGTGTCTGGTGTCCTGAGCGGAACGTCTCTGAGATTCACACTCATCAGAGACTAACCTCAAGTTCTCTGCAGGGAGGTGAATGAGAGGAAAGAGAGAGGATGTGGGCAGCTGGCCCCTCTCAGTCTCACGGGAGGCAGAGGACCTGGGAGTCCAGTGGCTTCTTCTGCAGACTTTCAACTTCTTCTCAGGTTTCCTAGCCCTCACTCCTACTCCACCTTCTGAGATACCCCTTTGTGAGGCTCTCCGGGGTTCTAAGGTTAAAATGCTTGCTTGTTATTTCTCACACCCCTAGCTGGTTTCTCTGGTCCATTAAGTCATCCAGTTGTTACCCAGCTTCGAAACATTGATGGCGCGCTCTCTTTTACGCTTGAGGGTGGACTTAGCCAATTTTGACCCATTTACTGCTATTCCTTTCACACAGTTCCCATGCCTTCTTAGGAGTCAAGAGGGACCCCAGGTTTCCATCAAACAACCCCTCCCACCACGCACAACCCAGAGCAGAGTGAGTGAGACCCCAGATCTCCACTTGCTCCTGTGAAAGCTCCTGGCTCCCCCTCCCTCCTCCCTCTTCGCACAGCCAGCACTGAGACCCCTGCACCAGCCTCTTCACATCTTTACTCTCTCTCCAGTCATGACAAGTTGCCCAGGGCTCCTTGGTCTTCCCTTGCCATCCAGAATCACATCTCAATAAGGCCTTATAAATTCAATTAGCCCCATTCCCCACTCTTCCCCAAATCCATCAGTCTTCTCACTCTGCCCTCTGAAGTCATTGGCACAAGCCCTTAGATCCTTAACTTCTCTGAACAGTCGTCTCCCCTGGGAACATGCACTCTGTAGTCCTCGCACACACAGGCTCTCTGCTCCTGTGGCCTCCGGCCTCTAGGCCTGAAGACAGGGCTGGGTCCTCTTTGCTCTTCATTGCCGCTTCCTATCTTCCCGTCCTCCCTACACCAGCCCTCGGCCTGACTTCCCAACACCAGGCTGTACCGTAGCCCACCCATCACCGCCACAGATCCTATACAATCAGGAGCATTCCTCCTCCTTCTGTGTTGGTCTTCACCCCGGGCTCACTGTCACTCACACTGTTCCTGCCATAATCCCTAGTGAACTTGGGCCATGCAGACCCATACACTCTCCTTCCAAATCCCTGCCTCTCTGTTCCTTGACCGCCTCTCCCGCCGTGGTCTTGTCCTCTTCCCTGCCTCGGGCACCTGAGATAGCTCATCTCTGAGATACCCACATTCCCAACCACCATCTGTCTCTCCAGCTCAGTCCTATTCATCTGATCATAGTATCCCTTCCACACTCTGGGATCCAGGCTCCATGAGTCCTGCCACCCTATACCTTCCATCCCCATGGACCCACGAACCACCCTTATAATCATTCTTTGGCACACAGTGTCAATTTCTCTGTCTCTCTCCCTGTTCACTGAACTCCAAGCAAAACTCCAACCCTGGTTGAATCCAGCATCCCACTTACTCTGTCCTGCGTCCTGTCCCAAAGCTGAACGTGGCTGGAAAAACCAATCTATTATGCTGAAACCTCTCACTGTGAACCATGGTCTCCATGCTAGACCTCTATTTGCCATCATCCTCTGGACCCTCAAATGCCAATGCTCCCTCCTCTTCTCATGCTCAGCTACTGCCTTTTCCTCCTCCCTCCCTGAAAACAAAGAGACCCAGAGAAAGGAGTGTCCATTCGGCCCAGCCACACCTGTCCATCATCAGACCTCTGCATCCCCATGCTCATCTCCCATTCCCATCTCAGCCTGACTTCTCCACTTCAGCCCCAAATCCTGTCTTCTCTCCTCAACACAAGAAAATTACCCAGAGGTTCTCTCCTCTCTCCTGCATTGTCTTTTCCCCTCTCCCATGTGTCATAACAATCAGAATGCAGTGACACGTTCAAAACCTTCTCTTCACCCCACGTCACCTCCAGCTACTGCTCCACATTCTACTGCCCATTTCAGCCAACCCCTCCCCCGAAAGGATGAGCTCACTCTCAGCCTCCAGTGTTTCTCCTTGTGTTCACGCTTGAACCCACTCCAGTTTGTTTATACCACTCCCTGAAACATCTTGTCACAGACCCCAACGACTTCCACCTTGCTAAACCCAGTGGCCAATAATCAAGCATCAGATTGGAAAGATGAGCAGCATTGGATATGACTCATTGCTCCTTTTTTTCACTGAAGTATATTCGGGCTACAATGTTATATTAATTGTTGGTGTACATATATAAATATATATTCCTTTTCATATTCTTTTCCATTATAGATAATTACAGGATATTGAATATAGCTCCCTGTGCTATACAGTAGGAACTTGCTGTCTATCTAATTTATATACAGTAGTTAGTATCTGCAAATCCCAAACTCCCAGTTTATCCCTCCTCCCTCCTTTTCCCCGTGGTAATCGTAAGTTTGTTTTCTGTTTGTGAGTCTGTTTCTGTTTTGTAAATAAGTTAATTTGTGTCATTTTTTTGGTTCCACATATAAGTGATATCATATGGTATTTTTCCTTCTCTTTCTGGCTTACTTCACTCAGTATAATGATCGCCAGATCCATCCATGTTGCTGCAAATGGCATT